GTCAGACTGTGGGAGACTCACTCACAGGAGCACGGACACTCATGTCACACTGTGGGAGATAACAAGTAGTTGGGCTCATGTGCAGCTACCCACAAACTCCTGTTCTGGATCCTACTCTATGCCGCTTTAACCACTGGGGCCTGTGGTTACAGGGTACAGGTTAAATTCTCATTGTCCACATGCTCACGAAAGAACTCCAGTGAAGCTCGTCCCTTCTTCAGCAGGGACACCTTTTTCCCTTCGGCCTTGCTAATGATCTTCAGCTGAGTCTCTCTATGGCGGGTTTTTCTTCCCAAGCTCACAGTTCTCTATCCTCTCTGCTGCTACCCAGTTCAGTTTAAATGTGTTCTGCCTCTACATCGCTACCCAGAGATGCCATCTTCTGCCATTATCAAAGCTTGTTCTAGTTTTCCTCTGATGTTGCTTAACCCAGACTCAAGTGCCCCTCTATTGTTGTTATCTTAGCAGTCTATGTCTACATAACTAAGTGTATACAATTGTGATGAACAAAGTGTGAACTAAGCATATCTCTACATACATGCAGTAAAACTACACTAGGTGTTTCAAATGTTCCTGAGGTCATTTGCATCAAGATTTTCTGTGTGTATAATGCATGTATATGTATGTATCTATGTAGGTATGCACACCCGACAGTGAACATGCAGAGGTCAGAGGACAACCCCAGGCTTTAGCTTCCACCACCTGTTTGAGCCAGGTGTTTGCCACTGTGCTATGCCTGCCAGCTTAGCTAGCCTGCAGGGATCCTCCTGTCTCTACTTCCCATCTCACTGTAGCACAGCTGTGTGCTACTGTGCTTGGTTCTGGGGCTCTAGACTGCAGTTCTTACATTTGGGTGGCAAGAACTTTCCCCATGAGCCATCGCCCTAGGCCCACTTTCAGGGTCATGCAAGGGGATGGTTTTAATTGCACTAGTTCACTGGTTTTGAACTGGTATGCAAGGAGTAAAGAGTAAGAACCTAGAGAATCCTGTAAGCCCCCAATACAGTAGACAGGCACACTTCAAGACACAGCTGCTTAACTTTCACCTGGTTAGTTCAGTCTTACTGCCTTCTGTCACAGGAGGAAAGGCCAGCGTAGGTCCATGCAAGTCAACATGTGTGTGAGCATGTGAAGACACACGTGACTTATTCGATCGATCATCTATTACTAACACGTACTATTTCCTATAAGTCTCCCCTTTAAAGCTCCAGTGCTTCTTCCTGCTCTTGTCTCTGCAGCTGGCCTTGCTGCCTATTTGACTCAGAAATTAAGGGCAGTCGAGGGCACTTAGCATCCTTCCAGAAGCTCGTTCTGCCAGCCATAGCCACTCACCGCCTGCACCTGGGCCTCCGCTGCCTTCCCACTCAGAGACTATGGCTGACGTGGCTGTGCTCCTGAGGCCTCTTGCCTACTGTGTTCATTCTGTAGTTTCCCCTGCTCTTTGGCACTCTTTTTACCCCTCTCTACTAGACCACTCCTACCAGCACAGAAACATGCTGGGTTCTCTCCTATCATAAGGAACAAGCCGAGACTTGTCCCACATCTCTCCAGGCTTTTGGATCACTTTTTGGTTTATCCTCCATCAAAATAAAAGCAAAGAGAAACCACAAGAACAACCCTACTTGAAAGGGTTGTCTATGTTGTCTCTGACCATCTGGATCAATTAACTTCCCCTTCCCTCCTCACCCCATACCTCTGCTGGCCATAAGGTGTCAAAGTCAACTCAGTGCCATTGCCACTCTTGAACTCACTCTCTTAGGCAATCTAATAGTTTTCAGTTCTAGTCACATCAAGGTTCCAATGCTAATAAAGGAGTCCAATGCTGATAAAGGCTAGCTGCCCATCAACTTACCATCTACCATTCCAATACTGGTTTTCTATGGTCACTGAAATCTCTGCTATGGACTGCATGCTTCTGTTTCTCTAGAATTCCTATGTTGAAAGCTGAACCCTCAGTAGGATGGTATGGACTGGTGGAGGCTTTGGGAGGTAATCAGGCCCTGAGATGGAAGCCCTCATAGACAGTTTAATGAATCCTTCCACTTTTGGTGCTGGGGATCAAAGCCAGGGGCTTGCATATGCCTCAGTTTGTGTTCTACCTCTACACTAATGCCTGGATGAATGCACTTTAAGTAGAGGAGAGAACTTGCATCCTCTCTCTGCAATCTGCCACATGGTGACACATTGAGAAGTCAATCATCTGCATACCAGGTTCTCCAGAGACACGGAATCTGCCAGCGTTTTGACCTTAGACTTCTCAGCATCTAGAATGGTGAGAACTAAATGTATTTTGTTTAAGTCATCTAGTGTGTTGTACTTTGGTATAGTGGCAAAACCCAAACAAGACAGTCACTTTTAAGAAAGTAACACACCAATGTACCTTTTATGTGCCAGACTCTTATCTAGATCCAGGAGAACAGTGAGGTAAAAGAAAAATATTCTGTCTTCCAAGAACTTACATTACACACAGTATAGCAATATGTCACAGAATCCATATTTCCTTTTGACTTTGTTTGGCTCCACTAATATAACTGTTACATGAATATCTATCTATACACGCGTTTCATATATGTCTCATAAATATGTCATGCATATATATCATATTTGTGATGGACATTAACTGATTCAGAAAATAATTGTTAACATTCATATTCCAGGTAAATATTAGGCATAAATTGGGAATATAGAATGTTTTCCCCATTCTCGCTGCTAGGGATGGAACCCAGGGTCTATCTCATCCTGTGCCCTGAGCTATCCCTGAGTCCTTTATTCTTACTTTCATAGTTTAGTATGGGAAAACAGAAAGCAGATTCCTGCCGTGCTGTCTGATAAGTGCTGTGCTAAAGGGAGACACACAGAGAGAAGAAAAGTTCTCAGTGGGAAGGTATGACTAAGCTGAATCTTAATGACACATGAGTTGACAGGATAAGGGGAGGGAGGAAGACATGCATGGTGTCAAGTCACAAGGCAAAGAAGCTAAAATAGCACGAGATAGATACTCTCAGAAGGGTATGATGGCAAGATGCCTCCTAAGGTTGAGGGGTGGGAGAGAAGAGAGAGACAGAACACAGGCGGCAGGTAGAGGCGATGAGGCAGCAAGAAGGATCTGCAAACCACAATGGGTCTTATTTATCAGCTTATAGAATTTCCAATTTCCTTTACAGACAACAAATAACGACTGAGAAACTAAAAGTGGGGAATGATATAATCACGTTTTAATTTTAGAAAGATCACTCTGGCAGGACTAAGGAAGATGGAGTTAGACAACAAGGACCAGACTAAGCAGGTGGCCAACAGTGGCTGCCAATAGAAAATAATGCAGGCGTAGTCTAAGGCAATAGTCTTCATAAAAGGTGAGAGAATATTGTCTTAAAAGCTTTTAGAAGAGAAAAAAAAGCCATGAACATTTATCAGCAACAGCAGACCTTGCTTGTCTGCCTGCCTAAAGCTCTGGGCCCTGCTAGTCCACTTTTCTCCAGAGATTCAATCTCTGTACTTATCCTTGTGCACACAGAGGGACCCATCCTTCCATCATTGGTACATTGTGCTTAGTCTAATTTAACAATAGCAATTCGTTTCTATGGCTGCAGATGGTTAAGGGTGGGTATAAGGTTCAGTTATACTCAGTAAAACATATGGTGGAGTCCTCTAAGAGCATGTAGGAAATACTTATTCAACAAAAATAATATACAGAGACTAGCTAGGTTTTTGTGCATATGAATTATGTTAAAAAAACTGAGCAACTAGACATGTGATGTTGAGGTATAGTAATTAAGATTAAGGTCATCATTGAGGGAAGGGGATAACGGATCCCTGACCATGTTCTTTAGTCAGTGGATTAACCAATTCTGGAGCAGCAATATTTTATACCTAATTATTCTGTGTTATCAGTAAGCTACGATTTCAAGAAAACCAGAGAACACTCTCTAGCAAGGAGACTGATACTACGGGGTAACAGCCCACAATAAGCTTCCAGAATAGTCTTTTTTTTTTTTTAAACAAAAAGGGTTCATTTATTTTTATTATGAGTATGGGTATTTTGCCTGCATGTAGGTCTGGGCACCATGTGCATGCAGGGCCTGAGAGGGGGTTGGGGCCTCTGGAACAGGAGTTACAGACAGAGTTCTAGTCACTTTTGGGTCCTGGGAACAGAACCAACCTGGGTCCTTTGGAGAACTGGCAATGTTCCTAATCACTAAGCTATTTCTCCAGTCCCCAGAAAGAGTATTCTAATATTTTGTTAAATCCAGTTATTCAATCTCTAGTTTGCTGTACTTAAAAACGAGCCAAGCTTGAGAAACAATTAAAAACCTACAGGTTGCAATAGCAACATTATAAACTACAAAGAGAGTTAAAGAACATTTACTTACCTTTGCGTAAGCTTTCCCACCTTTTAATTCCTGCAAATACAGAAGACACTATAAGGAAGGACACTGTATGATGAAGGATGTAAGACTATATGCGTGTCACACAATTCCAAAGTAGACATTTATACGCTAGTAAATGTCTCAGACAATATACACTGAGCGATTTCAACCTGACTATTCAAATCAATAACATCTTTAAAATGACCAAAATTTTCCCTTTGCTTGAAACTTTATCTATCTATTTAGTTTTTGATATGGAGTCTCTATATGCTGCACAGACTGACCTTGAGCTTCTGGACTTCAAGTGACTCACCTCAGCTTCCTGGATATTGGGACAGTAGGCCACATTTTTGCTTTTAGGATACCACATAGCTGTGAGGGCCAAGTGTGAGGAAGGCACTTAGAACAATGCCTAAGACTCTGTGCACTCCGTTTCCTCTTATTATCACAGAGAGCTTCCTTTCTTCAAAGTCACTTTGAGAATGTGTTTACTGAAGAGTTGTCACTTCCCTTGTGTGACTCTGATACACTATCTATCATGCCTATCTTTTACACATTGAATTTAAAGAAGTCTAGACGGTCCACAGGGAGCTCTGTCACTACTTAGGACTATCTGCTGCTCTTTCCCTTTCCTGCCACTGTTTCTAGTCCATATGAACTAGCGAAATTTCTTCAGTATTAGGTTGTTCTCACGTCCTTTAATGGTGCCATTCTTAAACAAACATAAGGAAACATCCATTAGGGATTCTGTGACTCCCTAACTTGCTGTCATTTATGGTCAAAATTCAAAAGGTGTAAACCTCTATCCAACTCTAGTTAGCCCTCTTCAGCTGGATTTGTCCTCATTCTCCCTCTCTAGTAGCTCAGGATCCCCAGTGACCTTCATTTTACAGAAGCGAAAAGCTCCCTGTTTTCATCTTAGTCTCTCAGCAGCATGTGATAGCTTGGTCAATGACCTCCCTCGATGCCACACCTCCTCCCTGATGCCACGCCTCAATGCCACGCCTCCCTGATGCTACACCTACTGCTTCCCAGGCTGCTATTCCTCCTGCCTTTCCTTTCCAGCATCCACTCCTTTAGTTTGCTTCTACAGAAAGAATGCTAGCTGTTCCTTAGTTATTTGCTCTCACTGTCCATGCAACTAATAGAAACCTGTACTTTTAGTTGGGTATCTGGTTGTGCCAAATAATGGACTATCTCTGTGTGAAACTGCTTTCCCCAACCTAAGCATTTCTACTGTGAGACATTAAAACCAACTCTCCCACCACCAAAGCAGCAGCATGATCTTATAAAACAGTGGCTCTCAACTTTATGAATGCTGTGACCTTTTAATACAGTTCCTCATGTAGTGACCTCCAATATAAAAATTATTTCATTGGGTGTGGTGGAACATGCCTTTAATTCTAGCACTTGGGAGGCACAGTCAGGCAGACCTCTGAGTTTAACACCAGCCTGATCTACAGAGTAAGTTTCTTGACTCCAGGAGAGCAAGTACCATACAGAGAAACCCTGCCTCAAAAACAAAAACAAAAACAAAAACAAAACCAAGCAAACAACTCCCCCCATCAACAACAAAAAACCCCAACCAACCAACCAACCAAAGCTCATTGCAACTTCATAACAGTACTTTTACTACTGTTACAAATTTTTATGTAAATATCTGATATGCAACCCCTGTGAAAGGGTCATTCAACCCCACCGAAGGGGTCATGATCCACAGGTTGAGAATCACTGTTATAAATGCTTCTCCTATTAAAATTTCCCAGTGAATCAGGTATGGTATGCCTGTGGCATATGCCTGTACTCTCTGCACTTGGGAACCAACCTATCTATCAAAAAGTGCTGGCGGGATAGCTCAGTTGGTAAGAGTGCTTGTTGTATAAGAATGAGGACCTCGTTCGGAGACCCATTTAAAAAGTCAGGCGTGGCCACGTGCTGCTTCTGCCCAGTGCTGGAGCAGAGAGCAGCAATACCTCCTCAGTTTTCTAAAGCAACACTCTTCCCTAAGTTATTCTCCATTATCTTCCTCCCCCCCTTTTAAATGTGCAACATTCACTGCTATATGAACTAATTTTATTTTGCTACACACTTGCTTTCTGTTACCCAGTTCTCACCAGAAAGTAAAGTATCAGACATCCGGAACTCTAGGTGACTAGAGCTGCTTCCCTATGTCTGTTTAGGCAGCAGGGATCTCTAACAAATTCAATCTTTTCATAAATCTGTTCATAAAATGGTATCTTATTTGTAGTTTTAATTTGTGTAAGATTGGGTATATTTTGTATTTTTACAATACTTTTGGGGGAGGAAACATATTGACACCTATCAACTTCTCATAAGTGCTGTTGATTCTTTAATATTGTGTAAAGGTGTTCTTTCTCGATTAATGGCTTTTTTTTTTTTGGACTGATTGACAAATAGTTTCCCCTAATTTGTGACTTTCCTTACATTTTTTTTTTTTTTGGCAATGGTTAACATGTTTAAATAGATGGGTTCTCTGATGCTTCTTTCATACAATACTTAGGAAAGGCTACGTAGAATAAATAATCTCAACTCCCCGAATAGCCAAATACAGCAGATCACTGGCAACTTAGCGAATTCTCTTCTGGAATGTTAGAACCTACTGGCCACCCAACCATGAATGACGGTTTGGTGTGGGTCACAGGGCTAGGTTCTAACTAGAGGGATGCATATAAAAGACACAGGTACCAGTTTTGAATCATGTCTGTCCCTATGTCACTATTTAAGGGAGAACAAGGCTGGAGCTGCCCTTAGATCTGAAGATGGAACCATATGCTATAGGTGGCACAGCTACTACATTTACCCCAAGTTGTGACGCGGCTTCTGTACCATTTTGTTTAAGCCTTGACCCTGGGTCTGTTTTACTAGTTTAACACATATGACTTAGGTTTTTTTTTTTTTTTTGTCAACTTGACACAAGCTCAGGTCATCCAGGAAGAGGAAATATCAATTGAGAAAATGCCACCATCAAATAAACTGTAGACAGGTCTAAGGGGGCAGCTTCTTGATTAGTGATTGATGGGTGGTGCCACTCCTGGGCTGAGGTGTGTAAAGAAGCTGACAGAGCAAGCTAGTAGGCAGTGTTCCTCCATGGCCTCTGCTTCCGTTCCTGTCCCTAGTTCCTGTCTTGACTTCTCTTCTCTCGGTGACCAGTAAGATGAAATGAACTCGTCCCTCCTCAGGTTGCTTTGGCCATAATGTTTATCACAGCAGTGGGAAGCAAACTAAGACACGTCCCAGTGGATATATCAAACCCTTATGAGAAAGGGTTTATCTGAGGTATGTCCTGGTATAACTGGCATTTATAGTTTCTGTTTATCTTACTAGAATTTGAGCTTATTTGATTTGTAGGTGGGCTTTACTTTAAGTTGGTTATATGTTTTGTTGTTCTTAAAATGCAAAGACTAGCACATCATCCTTCAAGGTTCATGATTAGAAGTATATCCAGACAGGGTGTTGATGAGTGAGCACAGTCAAAACAGCACGGTGAAGGCAGAATGCTTTGTTTTGTCAGCTGATCCCTACACTCAGAGGCAACCAAGGACTAGCTCTTTAGATTTAAAGCCCGACTTGCCCAAGGTCTCACGGTTGGTATGTTGTGGCATGCTTGGGGCTCAAAGTCAGGTTGGTGTAAGTTCACATCTGCCTTCATTGTGCCAAACTTCCTTGGCAGAAGCCTCGGCTCAATTACCATTGCTCCAAACACAACTATTTCCATGAAGACTTAAAAGTTGTAAATCACTTCTGTACACATGCATTTATTACATTCTAACTGAGTGTATTAAGCAATATTAAAAAAGGCTAGAATATGGCCACCCGCATCATAGTGCTATCAATTCACTCAAAACATGGGATGGCAGATCTAAGAATATAGCTTTTTATCTGACACAGAAAGATGCAGGATGGAGTGGGAAAGAGCAAAGGACTCTCATTCTAAGCCTTTATCTTTGCCAACACATACATGTACTTTGGCAGCTTAAAGGTATATAAAGCTGGGCATGGTGGCATGCCTGTAATTCCAACGCTTGGGAGACAGAGGAAAGGAGCATCACGAGTTTGAGACAAGTGCAGGCCATGTGTGAGTTCCAGGCCAGCTTTAGCTAGCTAGTGAGTCCTTGTTTCTGAAAAATCAGAACAAGAAAATGGGTATAAAATGTAAGACACACTGTTGGGTCTTTGTTTATAAAGGCAAAGTCACATGACACAACCTAGGCTGGCTTTAAATTTGCTATGTAGCTCAGGCTAGCCTTGAACTTGGGAGCTTCCTGTCTCTGCATTTCCAGTTGTCATGATTACAGGGTTTCCACTGTCAGGCTTGTCTATGCAGTTCCTAGTTTAGAGCTGATAGTTAATTCATTAATAGCAGTGACTAACAGACTGCTCTTTTTTTAAATTAAAAAATCAGGATCTTACATGTACGTTTCCTCAGTCTCACACATAAAAACAAAAGACATACAAACAAGGACGGAGGTTTGTGTTTGCGTCTTCCCTTTACCATTCATTAACAATGTAATACATCTGTAAATCTGGGTGAGTTATTTCATTTCTCTGAGCCTTGGTTTTTCTGAATATGAGTTGGTGACTGTAGCTGACTATGGTTTCTGAAAGGGGAGGAATAATAGGCCCTTTTTATACCTTCCGTACAGACACTCTGTAGATACAAGGATCCAGGATGCCGGTGGAGGCGCTGGCACTCATTTTGCACATAAACGAGAACTTCTTTCTCCAGTGAACACAATTTGCTTGCACCACCTCCCTGAATAGGAAAAAACAGAAACCGAAATGCCAATAACTACTATGTTAAAAACACTCACAACCTCACTTAAGTCTACAGTGAAAAGCTAGATAGAAGTCAGTATTTGTAGGTATGGGGAGACAGATCAGTGAGACAACTCCTTGTTGCAAGTTCAAGGACTCGAGTTTGGACCATGTAAAAGCCGGATGTCTGCAATCACAGCATTTGAGAGACAGGGACCTCCTGGAGCAAGCTGACTACACAAATGGCAAGCTCTGGGTTCAGCTAGAGACTCTGACTCTATAAAGGTGACGAGCACCTCAGGTGCTACTTGACTTCCACACTCAAGCACACACAGGCACACATACAAATGGAACGGTCAGTATGTGCAAGCAGTGGAACAGCAATACTTGGCTATTCGAAATGCAAAGAAGTTAACTTACTCATCAATCAGTTTAAAATCAGTCTTCAATGTTCATTTACTTCCTGTGTGCTGAGCATACTTCTGAATGTTTAAAATACAAGATAACAGACAGAATTTCTAACCTTGCAGGGCTTCATGCAAGAGAAAGAAATACACACAGATACCCTACTTTCTCTCTAGCTACTTCAGCAACATGAACTGCATGTTTATAACATGGCATGTAATCTCACAGTAATGCTAAAATGCAGTTGCCATTTCCTGAATTGCACAGGCCACAGGACGGGAGTTAACTCAAGATAATTTAGTTAGCTCAAGCCATTAACTCTGAAGCCCCTTGCCCACAGCCCTAAGTCTTCTGTTTTCTCAACAACTTTCCTCTTCCAAATTTCCTGACTTTTGTACAAGATGTTCTCTTTATTCTTCTGTGTAGGTTCAAGGGACTTTGCTTTAGAAAGGAAAATGATTTTCTTGCTTATGGAAAGAGATAGAAAATGGGGGAAGAGAATGGTTATAAATAGAGAAAGATGGATAAAGCAAAGGAATGTTCTCTACATTTACTCATCAACATAATTAATATAGGCAACATAAAATTTTAATATGTATATTATTTTATATATACTTTTTTTGAGAGATCGGGGGTGGGGATGGAGGGGGTGGGGGGGTCTCACTGTGTAGACCTGCTGGCTGGAACTCACCATGTAGACAATGTTGGCCTCGAATTCAAAGAGATCAACTTGCCTCTGCCTCTTAAGTACCATCCCACCTGGCCTTAATATATTTATTAATTATTGAGAATTTCATACAAGCACATAAAATGTATTTTGGTCACAATCACTCCTACTCCTCCCCTAAATCCTCCCATATCCGGTCCCACTTCCCACTCCCTTCCAATGTCATGTCATTATCCTCTTCCTCTCCCTGACCCCCTCCTCCTCTTCTTCCCCTTCTCACAACTCACTGAATCCAATGTGTGCAGCCCATATACTCATGTGTATAGGAGCATCCATAGAGGCACATCTCTAAAGAAAGCCTGACATGAAATGTCATGCCTAGCTCCTCAGTCAGGCGTGAAGGATCTTGGGCCCTCCTTACTCCATGCTGGGATGTTGACAGGGTTGATTTTGTGCAGGCCACCACAGATGCTGTGAGCTCATGAGAGCAATATTCCTGTCAGGCCAGAAGACACTGTTTCTGTCCAGTCCTCCCTGACCTCTGGCTTACGGTCTTCCCACCCCGTCTCCTGTGATGGATCCTGACAGCACAGATACAATGAGGTTGATTTTCCTGTCCTCATGAAGTACAGAGTAGGATCATTTCTCTGGAGCAACAGAGGCTGATGGGTAAGGTAAGAATTTAGATAAATTTAGATAAATTCAGATTTAAAAAATGGAGGAAAGGACACATGGGATGAACACAACAGTGTGCCAAGTCGTTGCTGTCTCTGGGAATAAAACAGATGTCCATCAAGATCACTGCGGTTGGGTTTGTAGATAAACTTTTAAGAAGCTCAGAAACATTCAGGAAAAAAAAAGCCACAGGACTTTTAGTTCTTGTCTTCCTCACAGCATCAGCCATGTGTCTGGAGCTCCTAAAAAAGGCATGGAGATGATGCTGATGACCTGGGACCGGCAGGAATTCACCTCAAGGCACGTGCTCGCTTCTGTGACTAACACCACTGGGGTAGGATCAGGTATCCAAAATCAGACTTTTTAAAAAAACATGATAGTTTATTGTCCTTAGAAAAACACATATAAACTTCTAGCTATCTGAAGATAGCTTCTTCTTCTTTCTCCCCAAAACTTACCAAGTTTGTTTTGTTGTTGTTTGTATCATCTCATAGGTAAACAAAAACAAGCAGTCAGGGACAGACAGGAATGGTAACTAATTTAGCAACGGAGGAAATCTGAACCTGATGCTGTAATGTGGAAAGCCAAGAGTGGAATCTTAAATTGGTTCTGAAACAAAATGAAGGACAGGCCAAGGGTGGAAGGATTGATTGAACACTGTTTTAGAAGCAGCCAGACCCTGACGGGGTTCCCCTGATGGGGAACAGATGACACTCTGGCCTTTGACCCCAGGGCAGGCCTCAAGGGTGTGACGACAGCATACTGAAAGATGAGTCAGTGCTGACCCTTCCTCCTTAGCTGTTTCTGGCAATGCTGGAGACAGGCATGCATCCATCAGGAAAACACTAATGAGCTGGACACTGAGGACTCCCAACAAAACGGTCCAGCCATCTCAAATGTAGTAAAACCTCAAGATGCCAAGCTCCCTCCACCCGCACAGAGCTTCTCTCAGCTTGAGAGCTGCAGTGACATCTAAGCTAGCACCCAAGGAGAAGCTCTTACTGGGAGAAACAGGCCAAAGTGAACAGCACAGAACACAACTTCATCCAAACAGAGTCAATGTTGGGGGAAGAGAATTTCTCAAATGAAAAAACATGGGCTGAAGTGACGGTCCAACTCCTACGCTGACCTTTGACCTCACCTCTTACATCCAGGCATGTGCATGAGCCCCCACCCCCCACCACACATACATGCACAGATACATGTAGTAATAAAAAGAAATCACATCTACTATACAGGATTAAGATGTTCTTTAAAAACAACAAAAAGAACAGAGACCCCTAAAGCATGTTAATGGAAACAAAAGTCCTGGGTTCAGCCTTTCCTTTGCCATTTTGGACTTACTCTACCAATTCATAACCCAGAGGCCGGCCTTCATGGACTGCAAACCAGCTTCCTGCCGTCTACCCTTACTGTGCAAGTGGAGCAGCACCAGAGACAGCACAGCAGTCTGAGGGCTGACTCCTTGCTAGGTGGATCAGAACGAATAGCGTAGGGGACTGTGGTTTCCCGCCCTACCTGTTGACTTTCTCTTTGTTGTTGACAAGGCTTCATCTTTAAAATACATACATGTAAACCTCTGTTAAAGTAAAAACTTGGAAATTAAGACTATTACTAAGTGCTGAAAAATCTCAAAATGGAACAAAGTTACATCCGGCATAGCCAGCATGGAGACCCAGGCCTGTAATCCCAGTACTGAGGAGGAGGCTGGAGGAGCAGGACTCCAAGTTTGATGCCAGTATGGGCTGCACTACAAGACCACCTTTTTTTTTTAAAAAAAATATTTAACATTGAAAGCCATTATTTTCCAGTTGCTTTAAATAGTCACCTGGTGAACATTTTTTATTGTCTAATATATGGAAACCAAACGACCTCATTTTGTTCAGCTTTCTGTCACTATAACCAACGTCTGAGTCAAATCAACTTATAAAAAGGACAGGTTGACTTTGGTTCATTGTTTGGGGGTTTTGGCCCACAACTGACTGGTTTTGTTGTGCCGGGCCTGTGGCAAGGCAGCATATCATAGAGGAAGCATGTGCTGGATCGAAAGCCTCTCTCTCCACAGCAAGTAAGCAAAATGACAGAACGGGCCAGACTTACACAATCCCTCTGGGAGCATGACTCCTATTGACCTAAAGCCTTCCGACCTTTTAAAGGTTCCATTACCTCCTAACAGTGCCAAACTAGGAACAAACCTTCACCACATGGTCCTTTGGATCCAATTCATAGCTGGACCTTAAAATGTCACTAAGCTAACTATTCTAGATATAAAAACAAAACACAAATACTTCAAAGCCCCCAAACATTGGTTAATGTTATTGTTATTTACTTGCTTATGAAATATCAGTAATTCTCCAACCAAACTAATTAGAAACACATACTAGATTTTTATCTATTTTGAAACACTCTTACAATGTGGCATATTTATTATGATTTCATATACCAAATCATATATGCTACCATTTGTACAAATAGAGTGTAGCTTCACTTGAACAACAACAACATTAAAGATTCCAAGTGAATTCTGCATGCACCTGTTGTCTTTAAATACAATTAGGTGGGAAGTATTTCATGTTTACCTAGTTTATCTAGAGAGTGGAGGAAACCGACAGGAAGTCTGGTAGACTCGGGGGAAAAACCAGGTTAATAATAGCAATATAAAACATGGGCAGGGACTGTAGCATATAAGGAACAGGTTTTAATAAAGAGTATGGTATTACATCTTGCAGGGGAAAACCACACTTCTGGTTTCCATCCCTACCGGCTGACTTTCGCTTTAATGACAATGTTGACAGTAGTTACCGAGTGAGTGCTTTCAATACATTGTAATGCCACTCCATCTCCTCAGTATAGGAACTGAGAGAAATTAAGTAGCTTAGCCAACTTCACTACTATGAAAAAGAGCTAAGCTGAATTTAAGGCACTATGTAGAGTAGACCTATTGCACGTCCCAGTTATCTTCCAATATCCCAGTCAGGTTTCTCCCCCAGCCCTCCACTGAAACTGCTCACTAGTGAGCAATAGATTGCCAAGTCTGATGGGCTCTTTAATCGTTTTTTAAGTTATTTGTGTATACGTCATTGAGTGTATGTATGTCGGCATTAACATGTCCTAGCATGTGTGTGGAGGTCAGAGGACAACTTGTATCAGTTCTCTTTCTACTGTCTGGATTCCAAAGATTGAACTCAGGCTGTCTGTCCCCTTGGTAGCAAGTGCCTTTACCTGCTGAGCCATCTTGCTGGCCTCTTTCT